TAAAGGTCCGGGTTGTCCTGGGAACTCCACAGCAGATTCTTTTATGCCTGTAAAACAGGGCAGGAGGCCAATTTTTTTAGAAAAAAGTATCACCTAGAAAGTGTTGTGGAAGTTCCAGTTGTGTGTTAGAAGTGCATAATACTGCTCTTGTTTAACCAAAGTCTTTTTACATTAAAAGAAAGAGGGTTAGTTAATTTTATTTTCATATTGATTAAGAGTAAAGCTTTGGAGATGGGTATTAATCATTCACTAATCTCTGAGAAGATTAGAAATTAGAAGCACTTTTTAACTGATGTCATCACTGTCTAATCTTTATGTATTACTATATTTGACTTCAGTAAAGGTAGTCATCCCCATTGTCCATTGGTACCATCCCTAAAAGAACCTGAGCTATTAGATTTTTTTGAGCGTCTAGAATTTACCCATCTGTATAAAAGTTACAGAGTCTGGATACTACACATTTTCCCATATCATGTATTTAAACTTTTCCTTATGTTGGTGCAGGTAGAAAAATATTTCAAAGTACTTGTTTTAGCACTGAATGTGCTTGCAGTGTTCTGATAATTCACAAATCTAGCAATTTAGTACAAATTTGTCATATTTTTTAATAAGAAAAGTTAAAGAAATAAAACTAATAAATAATTGGCTTAATAACAGTGGTTAGACTGCAGTGGGCCACTGTACAGGAGACAAAGTTATATCAAAGAAAATTTTGCCTGTATTCAGGAGCTGGAGAGGTTGTGGCAGGTGTTGGAAAAAAAAATTATTAGAATTACCCTCTGCCTCGCTACAGCTCACAGTGCACGGATATGTTCTGACACAGCCATAGCACTGACTACTGCTGCACTTGTAGGAAGGATCATATTTGTGTAATTGGATGTGGAAGCTATGCGTGTGATACATCAGTCTAAGTTGGATTAGAATGTAACTTTTTACAAGCTTTGAACTTTGTGAAGGCAAGACAGTGAAGAAGGTCTTCCTTTTCATCTTTATTCAGAATATATGAGGTTGATTTAGAAGCTTCCATTTGAGAGCTAAATGAAGCGACATGTGCCAGGTCACCAAGGGTAGTTTCGACTTCTCTACAGAAGTGAACAGGTACCAACTAACACTGCTGAACAAACAATGTAGTAGCATTACTTATCATATAGGTGTACAGTGGGGCAATAAATTTAGATAGCATTAAGTACCTTTAGAATTAGGCCCATCAACATATTTATACTTCATAAGATCAGTTATGCCTTCCTCTTTAATTTCCCTCCATCTTTTTCTTAGTGACAGTTAAAAGTGTGTTTAAAATAAACTCATTGACCATTGTACTCTTCTGCTACAGATACAATTTGATGGCAAACCACATTGAGTAACTGGAACCTTCAAAAGTTCAAATGTATTTAAAATATAGTTTTACATCACTGACTATTTTTCTCAGTATATAGAGGCAGAGAATTAGATAGGAAATGATAAAGGTGTTTATGTGTATATGTAGGATAATGTTTCTTGGTTTTGTTGCTCCCTGACTAAAACCTTTTAAGACGGTCTTTAGAAAAATATCTCTTTGTTATATATCTCCTTTGTTAATATCTCCTTTGTCATAAGACGAAATTCTGCAGCAATAATAATGTTGTATTCATAAAGGCAAGATGACTTCTGAGAGCCGAAGTGATTTTAAGTTTGAAGGGAGGTAGGGGAAGGAGGAGAGAGCAATGACTGGAGGTTGGTGATAACAATATCTTTTACTGTCTTTTCTCCTGATTAGCCTGTGGATAGTAGAGAATCCTGTATTTTGAATGCATTTCTCTATATAGCGTTCAGAAGATAATATTTCCCCATGTTACCATGATGAAACATCACCATTTCATATAGGACTTAAGGCATCGTTGCTTTGGGCATCTTTTTGGAATTAAACGTTTCTGGGCATAAGACATTGTGTGTAGTAGAAATACAGACATAAAGCTTTAAATCTGTGATTCCACAAATCTCTTTCAAAACACAAAAATTTATATCTTGTTGTTCCTACATGTAAGAAACCTGTCCTATTGGTATAGCTGGTAAAAGTCCTATTTTATTATCTGCTTTTTTTACTGTGTCTTACTTCAAAAAACTCATAATATAATTGTCAAAGATGCAAAAGTCATGTAGCTTCCGTTGGCCTATGTAGGATTCATGAATGCTTAGCAGCACGGAAAATCTGACTTATTTTTTTCATTTGATGCAACTGCAGAATTATTCTAATCCATCAGATGGCTGAGCTTTTATGTAGAGGATGAAATCTTATATTAGTAAAGAGGTTTTCCAATGCCTTCAGTATGACTAACTCTTAAGAGTAATATGTTTCATGTAACACATTCTGTATAATAAATATGGAGAACAGTCTCTTTTAACTTTAGTTGATTTTTTTTTTTTTTTAATCACAGGACTAGTCGTATGCCAGAGAATGGTAAAGTCTGACAGCAGAGCTAAAAGCTGCGTTTTCAAATGTATATAATAGGCATTCATACAGAAGCACGTTGCGTGTGCAGACAAGTAACTGCAATAAACCAATTAGCCTATGTACATTAGGTGTTTTTGCAAAATGCTTTTTGCGTGTTTGTAGAACAGTATGGTCTTAAGTTCCACTTTTCTTTTAGTAGCTTAAGGAAAGGAATGTTCTTCCATGATAAAATTTTTATAAACTGCGTCAAACAAACGTTAGAATACAACACCTAAGGCAAATTCCACACAAGTTACAGTGGAGCCGCTCGCCTTGCTTTTTACAGCCTTTGTTTATGAGTTTAGAGAATCTTGTCCCCACAGACGTTGCTGAGCGCAGAATAGTCTTGCGTCCGACTTCACTAGCTTAGCAACCTCTTTGTTAAACTCCCTGGAGAAACTCCTCGGTTGTTCCTGGGAAGGCCCTCTACAGAGTCATACAGCTAACTCAAATGCTAAACAGCAGATTGTGCAAGGTTTATTGCCTGTTTACCATCCCATTTTTATAAGTGTAGTGATTGAATTTGACTTCGCGGTCAACCACATCTGTTGCAGTAACATCTGTGAAGAAAGTAGTGGAAAAAATGCGGGAACAAAGCGTGTGCTATCTGCTTTACTGCGTTCCCTCTCAAGGGTAGAGGGGTTGTTGCCTGAAGCCAGGAGTGTCTTTCCCTTCTTGCTGTGAATGAGGAAGTCTTGCTGCAAGGGAAAAAGCTATGTGCCTTTTTAAGGAAGAGGAAGATGTCTTGTGTGTCTGGCTGCCGTTCTGTGGGCTGCTGTTGTTGCACTAAGAGCGGCTAAAGAATGCAAAGGGGACAAGCTTTGCCACGCCGTACTCAGCGAGGTAGGTCACAGGTGCAGCTGTATGCCAGAGATAGCACTGTACTGCTAGAGCTGTTGCACGTACCTAACTCTCAAACGGTTGTGCGAAAAATTTTATGGTGCGTGTACACAACTACCCGTACTGCTCATGTAAAAGTAGCTGGGCTGGCAGGCTGGTTGCGGTAGCAGGGAGCTCGGTGCATACAAACATCTCGAGCCGAGCGGGACTTGCTTCTCAAGTTTAAAGCTAGCTTCAGTATATCTGTATGTGTTGTGATCAGAAATACTTTTAGGAATGAAACTAAAACAAGAGCAAAATCCTCTTGTTTTATTTTGACGCTTTGAACTTGTTTGCATTTTACTTTCATGAAAGGCCAGAAAAACGTTGAAAATATCGTTGAGAGATTGATGTAGTGCAGCTTGTTGCAAAGCTATTCAGGAAGAAAAGGCTGGAGTAACTTCTTCAGTTCAGTGTTTTATTAATATACCACAGTGTTTTATTAACGTACTACACCAAAGTGCTGTGTGGTTCTGCGTCTTTTAAACTGTCTTTTTCTTGATTACCACTCAAGTTGTGAGTCTGGAAATCTCTTCTTAAGCGTGTCACAATTGCTGTTAAACGAGGCCTTCTGTGGTTTGTCCAAATATCAGTCTTTTATTAATTTTATCATATTGACTTAACTGTGTTAAGCTGAGCAGCTAACCTATATGATTTTGTTTCTTCGTGTATAAATGTGAGCTTTTGTCTTCCATGTGGAAATATATTAGGTGTTTGTCTACTAGATTTTAGAAGGCTTTTGAGATCCTCAGGTCACATTGCGTTATGATTATTGCTGTCTGCATAGGTACGGACTTCAGCAAAAATGCTAGATACATAACACACAGCCTGCATTATTATGAGGATATTGTGTTGTGATCACAACACTTATTAATTCTTGTCCAAGAAGTGCAATCTCTGTTCTCTTTAAAATTCAGTTTTTATTTGTCTAAACCAGAATGTGAGAAATGTGCCATCACAGCAATTTGTGAAGTACCATATATTCACCTGGTGCTTCTTGATATCTGAGGATAACAACGCTATTTAATTGCAGCTATCTCTGGGAATACAGATCACGGCTGAAGACAGAGCACAATGTAGAGACCAAAACAAGGTTGAAAAAAATTTTTGCTTCATGTGGCAAGTTAGATTTCTGATGATATGTCTTAGGATATTCATTGTTCATGGACCATGGACAAAATCTAGGGTGAAGTCAATGGGATTTTTGCAGTTAACTTTAACAGGTTTGAGATTTCCGTGATGTTGTTTTAGTCCATGCAAAATGGTTCAGGATGATACATCTTGCACGTTTGTTGGACAGTAAGGAGTGACTAATAGCATCATTCATAAATATTAAATTACTTGCATCTAGGCATCCTTAATTCTTTCTTTGTCACCAGTATGTTCAAATGCAGTTCTTACTGATGGGAGAGGCTGCAAAATACAGTTGAGAACAATGAGAGAAAGGCAATGTTTAAGTCCAGACTCCACAAAGAACTCCTGTGCAATCAAGAGTAAAGCTTTCCTTGCTTCATTATCTGCGTAATATCCTCAACCCAAAGTAGGAAAAATGCAATATATGATTAAAATCACGGCGAAGGTACAAGGTACAGGAATATCTAAAAGGTTTACTGATTTACTAACCATGACATTTTGGGTTTTTGTTTTAAAGGTATATGACTGATGGTGGTCTGGGCCTTTATACTCGAAGATTAAACCGGCTGCCTGATGGGATGGCTGCAGTGCGGGAGACGATGCAGCGTAATACTTCACTGGGCCTGGGAGATGCTGATAGGTAAGCTCTAATCCAGCAAATGCTTGGATATGATTTTGCATTTGGTTTCAGTTATATCTAATGTACACTGGAACTCAATTCAATAGCTTTGGGATTTCAGATACTGCATACAAGCCTGTAAGCTTCTCCAGGGTATATCAGGTTATACATTCACAGAGGTGCCAGAATAAACACTGACTTTGTCTTATGCTTGTTTTATTGACTTCTCATCTGGGCTTTTGTGCACAGGGCATAACACAAGAAAACTGTAAAATTCTATTTTAATAGTATTTGGACTATAAAAGGCCTAATTCTCTTCTCACTTGCGCTGATTCTTCTGAGTCCAGCGATTTCAGTGTGAACAGTCAAGTCCAAAGATCAGGTGTTAGTCAGGTGACTAAAATCCCATAATTTATGGGAGTGTGATCATACAGGAAGACAAGGAGATGGATAATAATGAGACCTATATTCTGCTAGAGTTGAGATAAAAGGGTTAAAAGAGTACTTTTGATTTTAATGGCATCAACCTGTTGCTGCTGCTTCTCCTTCCAAACTGAATGCCTGAGGAACGTTATGCTGAGGTAGTGAGTGATCGTAAGCAAACTATCATCCTCGTCTGTTACTGTGGCATCTGAACAGTGCCACGTTAACTGTAGCAATATGTTTACAATGCAGAATTCTTCTAATATAAATGATATTTAATTAACAGTCAGCCTTCTGGAGAGCTAGTGATATATGAGTTATTGATTCTTTCCCCTATAATATTATCTGTACTTGTAACATTTTCTCTTGATATGTAAATTAATCTCACGTAATATTTGCTAAGCTGCTTTACTGAAAACACAACACAAGAGGGGCGATTTCTTATGTTCCACAAAAGATATTATTGCTGTGTAAATAGATTCCATTTAGAATAGGTTTGTGACACACTGAAGAGAAAATGCAGCCCTAGTTTATACCAATTATTTCAGCGAAATCAAAGAATATACTCACTGGAAGAAAAACATTAAAGAGCATGAAAGAAGAAAAAATAAAGAGAGAATGGAGATAGCTTTGAAACTAATTCTTTTAGTTCAGATGAGAGGGGGTGACTTTACACATGATAAAGATTATGTATGGCTGGTAATTTAGCTGCGACACAGTATCATGGATAAATTAACCTGGTCCCAGGTTTGGTGATGTTGTTATGCGTTGTTTCGACTCAGTCTTTTCTGTTTAGAATGCAGCCCTTTTTACCTTAGACGGTCAAAACTTTCTGATAATAGTGGCAGCAGTTTAAAAATATCTCTTCTTTGGTTGCTGCTGCTCAAAATACACAGTTTAAATAAAAAATTAATCTTGGTTTCAGCTGCATTTTTGCCAGATTAAAATTGGCATACGGAAAAGGAGTTTAATCACATGGTGCAGTAATGAATTGCTTGCTTCTGTGAACAGAGACAAGCAGGAGTTCTGAGCTGCTTTATAGGTATACCTAGAAAACATGTATGAAGTTCAAATTTAGCTTGTTCAGAGCAGATGTTAAGGGATGCATGGGAGAACTAGTATGAAAGGCTGTGAACCTGTAAGCATTAGGTTAATCATTAAAAAGTTATCAGGGGAATTTTTGCAATTTTCTCACTTGTTTAGTTTCTTGTGTTATTAATTGTAGAAGTCTAGTTGTGATGCTTTTACACGTTAGCTCTATTAACACAGAGCGCAGACCTTACAAGGTACATTTTCCCCTGCAGCAGGGAAATCCAACTAGGCAGTTTAATTTAATGCTTGATTGCAAGGTTAATGGAATCATTGCACAACACAGCTGAGCTTATTTATTCACTTCAAGACAATTTGTGTTTGTATGGAACAAAGAGCATTTTTAATGCCTTTTTATTTAGTTTGTGATTTTTTTGAAAGGTTGTAAATTAGCCACCTATGGTTTTGTCTCTTCTATGTGTATGAGCCTGGTGTTCGCCATCTGGTTATTTACATTCATTTTACATCATGAGGCACAGCTGCTTGATTCTGAGACTTATTTTTGCCCTTACATTCCTGTATGCACATTTATGAATCCATAGAGGGTCAAAATTTGAAATACAGATTTGAATAAATCTTTCTATAGTTGCTTATTTATATAACCTTTTGTTTAGATAAGGTAACTCAGACCTGTGTTGACTTATATCTACCTGAATAGGTCAGGAGATTGTTAATGAATGTGAGTTTGTCAAGAGTAACTTTAAGGCTGCTGTTAAGGAAATGTCTGTATGACTCTCTCTTAAAGGCTCAGTGATGGAGCGCTTAAATAACTACTTCATACTTGATTAACTTGAATTGTTTCAGTGTTAGGATTTAATTGGTTATTGTGTGAGTTCTTGCACATTTATAATTTAATTTGAGGCTATGTAAATTACAACTCTTTGCGGAAGAGTATAAGGCATAAAAAGTTATTTCCAGCTTGTCCTTTGGAAAGCATTCTTCTGACTGTAACAAGGCGCCGTCTCATCAGATATCAGATTACATTGTCTTTGTACTTTGAACAGCTACAGCATTTGTGGACTGTAGGTAAAACACGGCTCGCATGTCAAGCACTGATAGGATTGAACTGTTTTTTCAGAGTGTTTCTGTACCATAGTTCAGATCTTTACCAATTAGGAGCATACTCTTGTTACTCTGCAGTTAAAACAAGACTGCATTGAGTTTAGCTGTCAGAGGAACTCACAACTGAAACTGGCTCCTGGTAGTCAGAAGCATTTTGTGCTTTTGGCAAGAGGCTTGGATAATCTCAGATCAGCATGTGGTATCAGGGGAGGAACAGGAAAGGAAACAGGAAGGAAAAACTGAAAGTGAAACAGTAGCAGAGCAAAAAGGCAGAGGACATTCAAAGCACAAACCTATCACTATTAGTTAGAGCGCTACTGAATAAAGATTTGTTTTCAAATGCTATTATTTATAGTAATTTATAAAAATGGTAAAAATTATGACTTTCAAAAATAGGTAAGAGTAATATTTTACTCTTATTTTCCATTTTATAAAAACATGTGAAGAATATTTATACGTTTCTTGACTCTTGGTAATAGACAACGCTTCAAGTTCATGGCAGAAAATCCTTAGACTGCAGTACATTTAGATTCACTAACTGCAAGTTAACTTACTGACTCCTGTTAAAGTGATGAGATTATTAAAAAAATGCATTAGCGTTCGATGCTGGAGGGAGTTTGTTGGACTACCTTGATAACCATGGGAAGCAGGATTACACTTGAGAAGAGCTGAAAAGCAAGTCGAAGCATGTCATCAAGTTGGAGATAACATTGTCGTATTCTGAAAGGGGGGAGAGATGGAGATGTCATTGCTTGTGGAAGGAGGCAAATTCCACTGAAAAGAGAATACTATTACAGACACGGTGCTGATGGGTATAGCATTAGAAGATGCATTAAATTTTCTTCTTTTTAGGCACTATTTTATAGTAGACAATGGAAAAATATTACCATGTAAGAGAAAACATAATTTTGTTAAGATCTTTATTATGCTAAGTACTTGTATAGTAAGGTAAGACAACCTTTAAGTCCTCATGTGTGTGTTTGCAGTTTTACATCTTAACTGACAAAATGCAGCTATAGCTAAATGAAGGTGTCTGTGTAGTTCCTGGCTTTGCAGGTGAGGAGTAAAGTCCTCCATTCAGGGAGTATATCCATCAAGAATAGTATCTCATTACTTCCCATCAGTCATACGTGATGACTGTAGTTTTATTACGCTAGCAAGGGCAGCATGATGCATAAGAAAAGCAGAAAAGGTGCCTGGAGTTTAATCTAGTCCTTATCCTAAAATGTTAAAACATACCTGGGTTAAATTTTGATCTTCAGATGGACAGCACTGTTGTAAAAATAAATAGATATTTCTGCATTGTAAATTTTTTCTCAGTGACAGTGGTATTCCCATCATCTCTTTCCCCCACAGCATCACCTACTCCTCTGAGGCTCCCTCAGGAGTGCTGACATCAGTGTTTGTGGAGTTTCACAGTAAATGAACTTGTGGAGGAATTTATGTAGTGTATTATGTGAATCGGAGCATGGAGGGAGGATGTCCTCCCTGTCAGGAAGAGGGATACCTGTACCCCTTGGAGTCATCTACAGACTTCAGGAGGTCTCAGCTAGGAAAGATGCTGCTAAGCTGTTACAACTTTACCAGGCACATTTCATACCATCAATCCACAGTTCCTTCATTTCCCGAAAGCCCTAATGGTTGCACTTGCATATAGCTGCTATAACTGAGATCATTTATAAGTTCTACTTTTCCCATTTTTCCTTCAGTAGGATAGTGGAACACCCCAACATAAGAATCCTAGATACTAAATGAGCATGACTTAAAAGTCTCTAAATTTTGTAAGTTAAAATAAATAAGTGCCAATGTCTCATCATTCATTGCTCACTATGTTTGTGCCGTGAGTCATTGTAAATGTAAGTTCTTATATAGTTACTTAACAGCAAAGTCATAGGAGCGATAAGATTATTCATGCCTAACAGATCTGCTGTGCTGGATGATCTGTTTGGATTTTGTCAGTGAGTTTAAAAAGTACTACTCTGCCTAAATATGCAAGTTGTACCTTGGTACCTTCAGATACCTCTCTCTCTCTGTCTTTGAAAGATCACACATTTATCTTGAAAACTGGCTAGCAGAAGCAAGGAAATTTGCATTGCAAAGTTTCTTTGAAGTTTATGGCCTTAGGATCTGCTGATTAGAATCACAATACCATATACTTTTATTTTGCAAAAGATCTTTTTACAAGCTGCAGTCCAAAGCGGTTTTGGGTTACATAAAGTAATTCCAAAGTTAAGCAACAAATAATAGTTGAAAGCAAAGGCAGAGTTAGCTATACCTGAAGGCTCAAATTAGCAGCACCAAAAGGAAAGACGACATTTTATTTAAAACAAGGCAAAGTTAGTCAAGGAAAGTATGTCTTTTGTTGGATAAGTTTTAGTGGGTGAAACTAGACAAGCTTTTGGGCACACAAGCTCTCCTTCAGGTCTGAAATAGAAGTAAGAGAACAG